GGAGTTCTTTTGGAGAAGTACAGCAATAACTGGTATTTCACCCAACTAGCCACTGTTTATAAAAGATGGAAAGGAAACAAGACTCTTATAAGAGGGCAAAAAAGAATGAGCTAACTTATGAAAGAAGAGCATTTGTGCAGGTTAGATGGAGGAGAAATAGTGAGAGTAAGGGATAGGAACATGGTGTAGTGAGAGAAAATAAAATTTACAACAGCAGTAGTAAAGCTCAGGAAATGGCAAAATGGATTAAGACCAGGGAAGGGTGCTATGTGGGATTTGGAATAACAATAATATGATAAAAAATATATAATCTGAATAAAAAGAATAAAAAGTAAAAGACAACGAGTAGTGAGTTATTTGGAATACAAGTGAAAGAAGATAAATTAAAATGCAATATGAAAACCCCCATAAAAAACAAACAAACAAAAAACCCTAAACAAATGAAAAAAAAAACTAAAGGAAAGAAAAGAAATTTTAAAAAAAAATGCACGTTCTGATGAAGAGCAAGGTGAAAATTGTCTCAGCTGTTGGTGTTTGCCTTCTGACTTCTTTCTGGACCTGTGTCTGGTTTTCTCTTAGCTCCAGGTCTTACTGTCTTACTCTTGGGGGTAAAAAAAAAAAAGAAAGACAAGCCCCCTGCTGGTTGTTAAGCCTGCCCAGCCCTTCCAGACTCTGGCTCCTGCAGGTTGTGGGGGTTTGGGCTTGGTTTTCCCTTTCTGGTGGTTCCCCTAAGGGGGCTCAGCCTGGGCTATAATAATCACAGGTGCTCAGTTTCTAGTCCACTTGCCCTCCCAGCACCTTGAGGTCTGCACTCTCTACTCTGCCCAGTTGCCCCGTCTGGCACTGATAAATCACCTCACTTTGCACCCCTTTGATCAATCCATGAGCTGTGCTGAGTGGGGGCAAACTGCACCCATAATCCTCTCTCCTTGCTGGCCAAGCAGCTGTGTGCGCGGGGTCCCTGCCTAGTGTGCCTCAGTTCCCCTTTTGCAAAAAGTGTCTGTGGGCGCCACTGCTGCTCTGAGCTGCTGCCCTGCTTTCCACACACTCCAACTCTCTGGAAAGTCCAGAGTCTATCTTAGTCACAGCCAGCTGGGGATCTACCTCTTCTCCCAGCTCCAAGTGCCTCCAGGATCCCTCCTCTCTCTGGCACTGTCCCGGCTGGCAACTGCTGTCCCAGCTTGGGTGTGCTGCCCACTGTGTGTGCGCCGCCTCTTTTTCCCTGGTGACCTGACACCTTCGGGTCTCCCCTGGAGCATGTCTGTGATTTCCCCACTCTGGGAAGTGCAGGGAGCTGCTAGCTGCTATCATTCACCCGGCTCTTCTCCGATGTTGACCCCAGGCAACCACGGTTTCCGGTGCCACGCCCAGGGACTTTCCCCTTCTGCCTATAAAACCTCCTTACTGCCCGTTTTGAAGCATCCTCTGTACACTTTGGCTTCTGATCTTCATATCAGCTAAGATTCTTTTGGCTGTTCACTTTGTCTTTTGGAAGATCAGCTAAGTTTCCAACTTGGGTGAATGAGCAAGTGGCTCAGTTTCCACCTATATCACCGCCATCTTCTCTCTCTGTAAATCCTTTTTTTCAATGTCCAAATTATATCTGGCTGGCGTGGCTCAGCGGGCTGAATGTCCAAATTATACTTCTGTAAGCTTTCTAAGTCATTTTCAGAATTTCTAAAAAATACTCTGAAGTCCCAGAAAACCATTATGTTATCACTTTTCACCACGGTCAGTTTCTTACTTCAGCATAATCCTCTCCCCTCAGTTGATTACTGCTTGCTCTTGCAAAGCTGACTTCCACAGGCTGCTGCTGTTCTCCAGGGATAATTCTGTCCCAGGCATGCTCCCAGGCTGCAAATCTAATCCCACACAGTATAGCTCCATCCAGATGTATACTAGTGTGCAAAATTTTACACAAGGCTTAGGGATAACTAATGAAACTACTCTACTACTGATGCCCTGTGACCTGTCACCAACCTTTTCCCTGCTCAGTCTCCACACCTACAGTCACACTTCCGGGGCCTGCTTCTCTCCATCAAATGGACTCAGTCAGTCAGGAAACATATATTGAGTGTCAGTTATGTGCCAGGCAATATGAGGATACAAGGGAGAAGCAAATAGCCATAGTTCCTGTTTTCATGAAAGACATTAAATAATTACAAATAGTTGAGCAAATAATTCTAAGTGTACAACATGCTGCCAAAGAAATACCTGGAGTCTAAGCTTAGGTCCTTTACATTCTCTGGGGCTCAGAGAGAGGGGAAAGAAAGTGCTCCCACCTCTTATATTCTATGTAGTCAAATTAATAATAAAATATTCATTAGAAAAGCAATTCTGACTTTCAGGAAGACAGCTTTTTTTTTTTATTTTTTTTTACATTACTATGCTGCTTAGCTCATGATTTTTTCATATTTCCTCAATAAATGAAGAAAGCCAAAATTCAAACACTTAAACTATGTGCTTGGCATCATTCTAAGCCCAATACATATATTGGGTTGGCCAAAAGTTCATTTGATTTTTTCTTTAAGATGGCTCTAGTAGTGCTTAGTTGTCTTTAATCTCAATTGAAACAACTTTGTTAGATTGTATTTTGACAGCTGTCACATCAACATGAATTTAAAAAGAACTTATCAAAACTGGTGAATTTTTGTATAACCATTTTAATATTAAAGATGGAAGAAAATAAGCAACATTTTTGGCACATTAGGCTTTATTTTTTCAAGAAAGATAAAAACACAACTGAAATGCAGAAAAAGATTTGTGCAGTGTATGGAGAAATTACTGTGACTGATCGAACACATCAAAAGTGGTTTGTGAAGTTTCATACTGGAGATTTCTCATTGGACGATGCTCCACGCTTGGGTAGAGCACAGCTGAAGTTGATAATGATCAAATCAAGACATTAATTGAGAACAATCAATGTTATACCATGCTGGAGAGAGTGGACATACTCAAAATATCAAAATCAATAAAGTTATTGGTGAAAATAAACATGTGTCTTTTATTTTATGGTAAAAACCATAAGGACTTTTTGGCCAACCCAATAATTTTCACAATAATCTATGAAGGAGTTCTATTCATTTCCCCATTTTACAGATGAGGCAACTAAGGCACAGAAAGGTTATAACTAGCTCAAAGTCACATGGCAAGTAATAGCAGGATTAAGAATCCAGGCAATCTGACTGCCTAGCTCAAATTCTTTATTACTACCTCTTAATACAGAAAATTTGTATAATCACATATAGGTCATTAAAATGATTTTTCCAAAACAGTAGTTCAATCTTCCTTCAAAGGTGTATTCTATCTCCACCTTTAGAACAAAGAAAAAAATATTGGCAACCCCTCAAAATCAGTCCCCCATCTTCTACCTTTGAACTTTTATCCCAGAGTGAGGCTCTGGGCACTCTGCCACAGCATGCTTCTCTCAGTCTCAGTTGGACTACTCTCCGTTTCAGTTGAGAAACCACACCCATTTTTCTGTAGCAGTCAGACCAAGCCCTTCTCAGGGCTAGTTTATAGTGACCTCTTCCATCTCTGAATTCGTGTAACAAGCACTGTTAATGGACACACTGTTACAGATTACCTTCTCTACTAAGTTTATAGGGAATGTATATTTCCCCAAAGTAAATAGCACTGTCTTGCATGAAATTGGTACTCAAAAATATTGACTGACTGATTAAGAAAGAGTCCCCAAATTGTAGGGGATCTGTTTGGAAGGCAGCTAGACTGGTAGCAAATAGACACTTTAGTTCTTGATTACATGTTTTATGTAAGATTTTTTAAAATCTATGGATACTATGAACATCTCTGGAAAATATTCATTCAATAAACATTTAACATGCTACGTATTAAAAGTAGATTAAACTCTCTTTCCTGACCTCCACCCCCAAATTGCCAGGTCCCTTCCAGATATATCTACAAATTCAAATCCAAGATTATCACGCTTATCTCTACAACACAGAAACAAATATTCCAAACTTGCCTCTCCTCAAAGTCTCAACATTTCTTGCAAGCTCTCCATCACCTTTGGGATATACATCAATTGCTTTTCCTTAAGAAATCTGTTATATATTCATTCTATGAATATAATGAAAAAACAATACTAAGAGACCCTTAACTCTTTTGCCACCCTAATAATACCATCGGGGCACTCTTTCTCTTTATGTGTAGATCTTGTGGAGCAGCTGTTATTTTAATTTATTATATGCTAAAAGAGTTTACAATTGCTTTCAGAACATTATTTTCTAAATGCTTTATTTTATTTTTAGAGCAGGTAAGGGAGGGAGAAAGACGGGGAGAGAAACATTGATCAGCTGCCTCTCGTGTGTCCCCTTCTGGGGACCTGGTCTGCAACCCAGGCATGTGCCCTCACTGGGAATCAAACCGGAAACCTTTTGGTTTGTAGGACGATGCCCAAGCAATGGAGCCACACCAGTCAGGGCCAGAATATTGTTTTTTAACTGAGGATTTTAAGTGCGGCAAATGAAGCAAAGTAATTCTTATGCTTTTTACAGCCCTTGAGATACAAATCTTTATGCAATGTAGAAATGTAATCAAATAAAATTAAAAATGCTAACAATTCATATTAATGATCAGTGGTAGAGGTGTTTAGTTTTCTGCCACAATTTCAATCCAGAATTAATTAGTTTCTAAAATAAAATACATGGAAAATTAAGGATTCACTTGAATCTTAATGCAACAAATATAAAATAGAGTTTAGTTCTTTGCAGCTTTCTGTAAAAATTATCCAAATGTACTGGTATAGCTTATTTTAGGAATGAAATCTGGTTCCTATGTTAACTTTCCAGACAAATTTAAAGAAAGGCATCTTGGCATTTGTCTGCTTCTGCTCTAAGCTGGTTCTTTACATTTTACTTTAATTAACTTGCAAGGTAATTGTTTATCTATAAATCAGTATTAAAATAAAAAATGAGCAAATAGAAAAATAGTAAATATAGATAATCTGAAAGTATACTGTTAAGACATTTCTCCCACACCAAAACAGTGGTATAAAACATGAAGATGACGTTTGATGGGATCCACAATAAAGTAAGAAAATGTCTGCTCATGGCTCTTTGTTGAAGGGTAGCATACACCAACAGAATCCTGAAAAAGATAAACTTAAAATTACTGATGATACAACCTAATTTAAATAATAATCAACATACTTAACTATTATATTTTCTGTTAAAATGCCATGAAACATATCAAATCTTTCACAATAAATTGGCAGTTAACTAATTTTTTAAAAATATCATCAGCACAGTCTACTATGCTAACAAAACATATGTACAGTACAACACAAACATGCGTAATTCTTTACCTTATAGAATTTATAGTTCAAAAAGAAATCCCATCTTTTAAAAAAGTGCTTATGAAGTGTTAATACTGCAAAAATTTATACTTTGCAATTTTCTTCTGTCTTTGCTTTCTTTTGAAACATGGTCCATATGTACTATGAAAGACTATGTTTCTTTGGTTTATCAACAAAAAGTACCTAGCCCAGCACAGAAGCTAACACACAATAAATATTGAACTGACTAAATGAGATACTTAGTAAGTGCTTCTTTGTGTTAATAATCTTTTATTTAGACTAGAATTTCTTTTTTAAACTTTTAAAAAGCTTTTAATATTTTATTTATTTATTTTTAGAGAGAGAGGAGGGAGGGAGAAAGAGAGGGAGAGAAACATCAATGTGTAAGAGACATATCAACTGGTTGCTCTTGCACCGCCCAGCTGGGGACCTGGCCTGCAACCCAGGTATGTGCTCTGACTGGGAATGGAACCTGTGACATTTTCGTTCCTTGGCCAAAACTCAATCCATTGAGCCACACCAGCCAGAGAGCCAATAATCTTTTGTATACTAAATTGCAAGCATCCAATTCTGTGATATAAAGACATTTATAGCATTCTTACTTATTTGACCTATAAATTGTGCTTTGACAGAGAACTATGTTTTACTCCACTTGAGTCACAGATTTAGCTTTTAACTAAGTAAGAGCTACAATTAGACATGTATGACAGAAAGGAAGCTAGGGAAAAAGGTTCATACTGTTCTCCAAATAAAAGCATACCTTATCAATTTTTAATTTTAACAAGAAATTAAACATCGTCATCTTTTTTCCTAGGCATAACACAGCCCTAATTGATAATGTCAGTTGTAACAACCCTATTAATAGCAAGTAATTAAATTCATTGGCAGCAAATTTCCCCTCAACTTACATATGCTGTAACTTTAAAGATGAAAGAAGTGATCTGTATTTCCTTTGTTTTAGGATGCTTTCGAACACTAAAATAGAGGGGAAAGGTACATTTTAAATATAACAAGCACTGGAATAATGCATTTAAAATACTGATACCTTTTAGTATTTAGGTGTTCTTTATCATATACAGGAATCAGCACAAATAACATCCCTTTTTTATTTCAAGAACTTTTATTACAAAATCATAAGCATGTAATTCTGTAACATAACAATATCACATTCAAGCACACCATAATGCATTTTAGGCAAAATGTTCAAAACTATAAATTATTATACCCATATTACTACCCTACCAACTGCACTTAAGCAGGCGTTACTTCTGCTGGACCCTCTATAACATGGAAATATATACCATCCAACTAAAGTTGTTCAAAAGGATGGCATCTGAAGTTTCATTCAAGGATGATGCAAAATCAACTAAGTTGAAATTGCAGAAAACTGAATTTTAGAAGGTGGAGGCCATTCTGAGACTTAAATGATGAAATGACTCTCAGACCAGAGACAATTATTGGAAAACACGAATTGGTAAAAGTTAGACTGAAGTGTAGACAGTTGTAAGGGGTAGATAAATGCATACTAAAGAATTACAGGACCTAAATGCAAATGCTAGTTCTGCCACTGATTTGTTATTTCACTTTGGGCAAGATGAACTGTTCTGAACTTCAATTTTCTGATATGTAAATAAGGCATACTATGATTCTTTTAATGATCACAGGAGAATTAAACAGGATAATGTATATGGAAACTGTTAAATTATATATTACTAAATTGTATAATATTAAAAGCATTTTCTCTCAGTCGCTCTCATTCAGTTACACTCCCTGCAGAAGATTACCTGTGGCAATACATAGTGAGGAAACAAACTGAGGATTGAGAAAATAAGCTACTGATAGACATCTACATATAAACATATACAGATGATGTTTATAATGCTTTATAATCTGCAAAATCTCTTTATATAATTTACCTCATAAAGATCACACAATTCAGTGAAGTAGGCATTATTTTACCAATTTTATAAACAATAGGACTAGAAAAATTAAATGATACATTTTATATATTCCAACTAAAAGTGGTATTTCTGGGAATAGAACCTAGGTGACAAGAGTCCAGTTCTCTTTCCCTACACTGCACCTGTTTATCCTATACCTACTCTCTATAAATAAATATGTGTCAGGAGTATTGTTCAGGTATGACAGGTATAGGTTAAATTTAAAGGAAGATATCCCTCTTCTTCACTTTATCAGGTGAAAGCATTGCTTCTTCCTCAATACTTATGTGAAAGTAATGGGAGAGAGAGAGGAGGAAGTGGTAGAAAGAAGATGGACTTTGTAGGAGGGTGAGGGGGGTGTGTGTGTGGGTGTTTGTGTGTGTTTGAGCTTAGGCACCTATTGAGGATGCCAGATCTAACCTATTTCAGGGTTCAAGATTCTTAGGCAGTTTTTATCTCTAAAACATTTTATTCCAATTTAAACCCAGGAATCACATAATTAAATTGATTTCCATATATTTCTAAGACATGGGCTGAGAAATGATTTCTCTAAATCACTTGATTTCTCTAATGTCCAAGACCTACCTTTAAAAGTTGAAGACTACAGTTAAAATGCTGTGCTGTAACAATTACATATAAAACACTTGTATATACCTACATAACCACCCAAATCAAAATAAAGAACATATTCACAGTTATATCTAATTTAAAATATTGATTTGGAGGTGTTTATGGGTGTAAACATATATAAAAATTCACCAACCTGAATGTACACTATGATTTGTTCACTTTAGTGTATGTAAATTACCCCTCAGTTTATAAAAATCTAAAAAAAAACCCTTGTAAAATTTGTGCTTTTCAAATAAACTAAGAGGAAGATCTAGTATTTGAAACTTCATTTAACAACCACTTAACACATACTAACATGTACCATAAGAATATTATTTTTTTAAAAAACTACAATTTATATATTAAAAGTTGGTTCTTAACAGAAATAAATCATGTTACTCTTCTAATCCTATATTGCTATTACTTTAAAATATCTCATAAGATAATGTCTAAATTTTTATAGGTCAAGTACAGTATCACCTGTCTGGTATCTCTTAAGAAAAAAAGAAAAGGCAATGTAAAGTGATCTTTATTAATGACCTCAGTTACACTACTAATCATTGCCTTGTATCAGATTTTTGGCAATCACTAATTCACTCTCTGAGATAGGTTTTTAAGAATGCGGGAACATAATTCCTATTTTTGAAGTCTGATTATGTTAATGGCCTAGAAATAAAATAATGAATGGTTTCTTATTAGTATCATTTGTGCTAATATCTGAGGATCTGTCCTCATTGAGTATAAACACGGTATATAGACCATTCTAGATAACTGCTCATTTTAAGAAACAAGGATCCCACAGCTTAATTAGCATCTGAAGTCCACAATCTAAGCCTCTCGGTTCAAATCATAAAATTTCACATCTAAGACAGATATGTAGTTTGGGGAACCTCTCCAAAAACTTTGACAAGAGCATGTGTTTCATGTCTAAAGTAGAAAAGACACAGGCACCATCAGTAACTATAGAATTATCTCTGCATAGATATTTTTGAAGTGTAATGAAACAGTTGATCATTTACTCTCTAATAAAATGGGTCTAAAGTATTGCCTATGATATTTAAGAAACCATGAAACTTGAAGATATTTTCCAGCACTTTTAAAAGGTGCACTTTATAGGATTTGTAATAATGATAAGGGATAAAATATCTTAAGAATGTTTTTATCCTTTTGTTTGAGTCAGAGACTCCTAAAATCAGGCTCTGCAATGTGTCCCCAACATCCACAAACATAAGAATAGTCTCCTTTGTCAGAATGGATTAGTGATGACATTTATGTGTAACGGCAGATTAGATACTATATTGTAAAGAAGATACTGCATGTATAACTAGAAAGACAGCAGATGTTTTTCTAAATTCTTAATAAGCATGCTTAAAACTTGGACCATGAGAGAAATATTTTTGGTTCTCAAAAAAAAAATTATGCTATAACTGGACTGTGCTACTTCTCAGCCTCCTCTAGCATGAGGACCGGTGGTGCCTCTCCTCTGAATTGGGAACAGACCACCTTGCTCTTTGCTGGTGCTCATGGACTCTATTTGAATCCCTGAAGACTTCCCTGACTACTGACATTGACGATTTCCTCTTTTCAAATTCTGGAGTATTTATTAAAGTATAAAGAGCTATAAACACTTGCCTATAACTAATTGAACATTTGATTATATAAAAATTTTACTTATGAAAGATTTTAAACAATTCCTTTACTATTATTTAATGTTAGTTTTTTGTAATTTTCTTAAGGTTAAGAACTGTCCAATGCTCCTCTTGTAGTCTCCTTAGAGTTTGGCAGAGTTTTGTGCACAATATTGACACTAGCTAGTTGCCCTAAGTGATTCTATGGACACAATTCTTATTTGTCTGTTAAGAGGTCATGGATTTTGGCTACTCATTTAATGAGTGGCCATTACTCTTTGTGTCATACTTTTTCTTAGCACCCAAAGAGTGTAGGAGACAATCACAGGTGAGAATTCAGGGAAGGGAATGTTGGGGAAAGCTTAAGTTTCTTCAATGTTTAGGTTCTAAACTTACTTATATTTCAAATATCTCCAATAGAATTTCCTCCTCCACAGTGCATGGTAGTGAGGAATTCCACAGCTTCATGTGGCTGATGAGGGACAACACACTTTGGTGGCAGTATGTGTGTCTATGGTATAATGAGAAATATCTACAGGGAGTTCTAGAAGTAGTCTTTTAAGTTTTCATGAACTGTAAATGATAAGGACAGAATACGTTTGATGTAGGTATGTGTACGCTTTTTCTGAAATTCTGTTACTAACATATCTCTTCCAACAATCTTTAATAATTGTTTTACTAAAAATCACAGACCACTTACAGAAATATTTTTGTCTTTAAAAACATAGTATCAGAAATTAAATAAAATAGCTAAATCATGCAGTCTGATGTATAGCTATATGACACAGGGAATGGATAAGAGAATTGTGGTGTTGAGTGTAAGTAACAGTAAGAGTTTGGTAAGAAGCAAATTCTGTTGTTTTCCCAGTAAAGCATATTTTATAACTAAACTCTGGGATCATTTGTTTTACTTGTTCCTATCCCTTCTGCCCATAAAGATGATCCAATGTCTTCATCACTGAAAAACCCAATGAAAGAACTTCCACTTCACTGAAAATTAAAGTATAAATAAAAGGCATAAAGTTTTTATCCTCATTTGATCTCCAAAAAAAATAAATAAATAAAACTCTAGTAAAATACCTAAAACAAACAGGGATTTGGGATTAGTTTGCAAAAGTGAAGATTACACCTAGATGAAAATTCTTCCATCTCTTCAGAACAAAGGTAATCATTTTTTTCTACTACTAGTCAAGCAAATTCAAATATCCTGAGGGAACCTCATGTTTTCCTGAGATTTAAAAGGAAGCCCAAGGTAAAAAAGGAGACGCAGAAATAGAGATCACATGGAGGGTTATCAGTGGGAAGGGGGTGGGGGAAGAATGTGGGGAAAGGTACAGGGAATAAGAAGCATAAATGGTGGGTACAAAAATAGACAGGGGGAGGTGAAGAATAGTATGGGAAATGGAGAAACCAAGGAACTTATATGTACAACCCATGGACATGAACTAAGGAGGGCGGCATGCTGGTGGGAGGCAGGGTGCAGGACAGAGGAGAGTAAAGGGGAGAAAAAGTGGGACAACTGTAATAGCATAATCAATAAAATATACTTAAAAAAAAGGAGGCCTGGAAGATGGCAGTTGTTAATGAGGAATGGAGCAGGTAAAACGTCTAAATGAGGGAACAAGAAGCAGCAGATGAGGGGACTGAGCACTAAAACAAGGGTCAGGGAAATCTAGACATTCTCCAGCTTGGAAGAGGGGGAGGCTATAAAAAGGGGGCCAGGATGGTGTCATTTTTATATATTTTGGTTGTAAGAGGACCACAAAGAGATATTGGGTAATCCCACCATCATTGAATTACTTACTCTAATAACCAGATGTTTAGTTATTGTAATCTAGCAACATTACCTCACTAGATCCTTATAGATAAGCTTTGTCGTTTCCAGATATGGATTAAGCACATCCTCATATTGACAAAGGGCTCCACCAAGGCAAAGATGTTTGAAAAGACAAAACAAGAACTCTTCTCTATCTGGTTGGCTGAATATTTCATACTTTTCCGAGTCTTCCACTAGCAAAACCTATGTAAGATGACAAAATTCATCTTAATGTAATATAATTCAAGGTTCTAATTTTTATATTTTTGAAAGTTTCAACTTTTATATTTAAAAATAACTTTAGTCCTATGATAATAACCAATCCTGAGCCAATTGGAGAGCGTGACCTATGAGACCTACAGCACTTGTTTTCATCTGATTTTATCATTACATACTGACCTTCTATGAAAGAAATAACTCTAAGTCTAAGCCTTCTATTCTACTTTATTTTTGTTCTGGTTTTTATCTATGGTAATTATTTTAGTGCTATTGCAACTTAGTGTTGAGTCACCTTAAATTTTACTTGGAAACAACAGGAGCACAAATAATAGAGAAATTTCTCTATCACATTAAGTCTATAGTCTTTACTTCTATGGAGGATAAACACAATGGTCATTTTCTAAGTCCTCTCACCTTACAGTATTTGGATCACTACTTTCCTTACCCCCCGTTACTCCATTTTTAACTATCAGGTAATTAGAGCCTCAGAACCACCTCCCCCTTTCCTGCTCTTCTCTAATAATACCACCTTACACATCACCAATCTACATTAACTTTTGCTGTATTCAGACCCTGCTACCACTTTCAGAAAATAGTTTGACTAGGTCTGATGTTGGGGATTTTCTTATACCATTGGGCATTACAGGCAATTAATTAATGTGTTGACTATGGTAAAAATGAACAGGTAATGAATGTATGCTATATTTCTTTTATTAAATTGTTTATACTCCACCTACTTTTAAAAAAGTGAAACAGCTAACAATAAAATATAGATAAGATAAAAATAATAAGAAAACTGTTACCAAGAAATAAAATGGGAAGAGAAAACAAATACACACAAAGAACTCTAAATGGAGAAAAGCTATAAAAATTGTACATACACTTAACACTACCCTACAGAAAAAAGAGGAAAACATAAGTTATACAGCAATCACTGTCTAGTAGCAAGAAGTATGCTTAAGTATAAAAACTGATAAAGCATAATGCTTTATTAACCCCAATCACAAATAAAAATCCATCACAAGATCATTATATGAGGTGTTTTAAAACATAAACTCTATGGTGTTGTCTATAGACAGTTTACTTATAATGACCTGGTGAAAGTTAAAATTATATATAGTAAAAAACAGGTAAGGGGAAGTGGTCCATAGTTTACTTCCCTCTGGATGTGCCACTTGCATATCTCTTATCTCTTCCTCCCACCCCCTCTGTAAGGAGTGATGTGATACTAAAGCCCAAGTTTGTAGCTCATTAAAGATCTGGCTTAATACAACGGTGACTAAAGCTCTTAAAAATTAATAGGTTAACTACATGGTGATGGTAGATGATTTGACTTTGGGTGGGGGGCAGACAATGCAATATACAGATCTTATTAATGAATGTCACCCAATAAATAAAAGTAAAAAAAAGAATGGTTAACACATTTCTTATGAACACTCTCATATATTGAATTGATTACGCTATGCAATTTAAAAATTACAATAATTAGAAAAATTTTTGGAATGAATGTCAACACAATAACACTATATGGCTGACTACCCTCTCCATTCACATATAGATTTAGTTGTACAACCCTAAGAGATTTGTATGCAATGATTAATGAGCCAAACTTCCGAGCTGTGGTTAGGAGGAAGGTTATTATCAGTACTTGTGTCACACAGTGTGCCAAAAGAATCTGTGTTGCTGCTCAATGGGGGGCCCTTCTAATTTCCGGCTAAATCTGGAATTTATTTATTTTTCAGCCAAAAAGCAACCAAGTTAAAACTTTCTGTTGCCACAGAGTGGCAAAGAACACAAGCAAAACATACAGGCAACTAGCTAGCAGGATGAGTCCCAGCACCTCCTGAATATGCATGGCATAACTAAGACAGGCCACAGCAGGCAGTTTTAAACAGAGTACTTTGTTGGAAAGCAAATCCTGCTTTTCAAAAAGTCCATTGCTGAGGCTCTCTCTATAGAAGTGCTGGTGAACTCTCTAAAATTAGAAGATAGAATGGATATTAAAAAAGTTTTTCATTTATTGATTTTAGAGTGAGAAGAAGGGGGAGGAGAAACATCAATTTGTTATTCCACTTATTTATGCATTAATTGGTTGATTCTTGTATGTGCCCTGACCAGGGATCAAATCCACAAACTTGGCATATCAGGACAATGTTTTAAAATTTAAGGTGACTCAACACTAAGTTGCAATAGCACTAAAATAATTACCATAGATAAAAACCAGAACAAAAATGAAGTATAATAGAAGACTTAGACTTAGAGCTATTTCTTTCATAGAAGGTCAGTATGAAATGAGAAAATCAGATGAAAATCCGATTTTTGAGACTAAAAAAGTTAAGTATGCCAACACAGATCACTAACAGAGAGAGGAACTGAGATTAGTCACACCCAAGGGAGAGAAACCCAGACTAGATCAGACACTTTGTGTTCAGAAATAGAATTATTCTGAAATAATTTCCAATCCTTGGTAAGAAGGACTAGGAATTAATATCAGATAATAAATAATAAATAGTATCCCACTGTGTAGTATTTATATTATCATTATATATAAATACACTTAAGACCAAACTATGTACAGTCTCAATCAGGTGAGTTTGATTATTCTTAATTAGTTCATTTTATTTTCTTAAACTAAGAGCTCTCTTAGGTATTGTACTAGTGTAGATCAATGAATAGACTAGCTGAATGCTTCCTGGTCTCCTAAAGACAAGATTGTTCTGTTCATTATGGTGCATCAGTAGCTTCCCTAGTTCATTCCTATCTGGATTTACAATACATTAGACTTGTATTACCTCCTGTCTCTCTTAATGTAGAATAATAATTGTAATTAGTAATAGTAGTTAATATTGTAAAAAGCTTACTAAGGGACAGACACTGAGCTAAGCACTTTAAATGCACTGTTACATAATTCTTATACTATTCCCATTTTATAGACAAAGAAATAGAGGCTTAGAGAGGTTAAGTATCAGTTATTAAGTGGTAGAGCCTGTATTTGACCCAATGTGTATTTGATAACAAAGCCCTAATTTGTATCCACTTTGTAAATACTTTTTCAATAATTAAAATGTTAATAATATTTCATTTAAATAGCATTTTACACTTTTTAAAAAGTGCACTTAAATGATTCCCCATTTTCTCAACACTTCAGGAAGAAGATAGAATGGTTATTAAAAAAGTTTTTCATTTATTGACTTTAGAGCAAGAAGAAGGGGGAGGAGAAACATCAGTTTGTTGTTCCACTTATTAATGCATTAATTGGTTGACTATTGTATGTGCCCTGACCAGGAATCAAATCCACAAACTTGGCATATCAGGACAATGTTCTAACCAACTGAGCTACCCAGCCAGGGCCTAGAATGGGTATTTTGGTCTCCATGTTGTAGAGGGAAGATCTTGAGGCTCAAGATATTGAATGATTGTCCTAAGGCTATTATCTTGTAAATAACAACTCAGAAATACATAACTCAGAAATTATTATCTTGTAAATAATACATAACTCAGAAATTAGGTAAATAATCTGATTCCAAGTTCAGTCAGTACACTTCTCACCAAAACAAAATTAACTTAATCAAGTGGCTCTTTTGATCTCAGTGATGAGATAAAGATTCTTTTACTCCAGGTACATTTTTAATACTCATTTGATATGTTAAGAGCATCACATTGAAGAAAAATAGCCATCAATTATATAGACCAGGATTTCTCTACCTTACTTAACACTACTGACACTTGGGGCCAGATAACTTTGTTGTGAAGGGCTATCCTGTGTTTAGCAGCATCCTTGGCCTCAACCCATTAAATGTCAGTAGCACCCAGCTGGGAACTTCTGAAATACACAAATAATTAAGTTGATAGTAAAACTCTCTTCCAAGAAGAAACCTACCAATGTAATACTTACTACTCATCATTATTCATTGAAAAGAGGTATTTTATGGACTTTAGACAGGCAAACATTTCTGATAAGCATTTCCTAAAACAAAATTTTACTGTGAAATTTAAAAATTCTGTACTTACCTTTCGTAACTCATCAGAAATGAGAAAGGGATCACAAAAAGAATCTAAACATTTAACAATATGTCCACTGTCTCGTACAATATCTTCATTGTATAACCGTCTAAAAAATGACATTGAAAGCTGTGTGCAAGGAACATTTATAGCTTCAATTTTTTTCACTTCAGTTCCTGAAAAATGATATTTTATAAATACACATAGAAAAATTAATTAAGCATTCTCAATTATTTCCAAAACAAGCATTGCTATACAGAGATTCAAAGTAATGAAATCTAACACGTCTTGATATATGTAAAAGATACATTAAATAATCTTATTAAATTTTTATTTTGGAACTTTTTGGTTTTTATTAATCATTAAAAGTTTATAATAAAATTTCACCACTTCAGGCCTAGATGATGGATATGTAAATTAGAAAGTACCCTAAAATGAAGATTTTTTTTTATTTTGTGTATAATACAGGGTTCTTAGGTCACTTTTAATGCATACAAGATCTGTTCAGAAAGTATCCAGCCATGTACTATGACAAATAGAGACATTTAGTATTGAAGATACAAGAAACATTATACATAGGCCAATGATGCCTCTGTTCCCTTCAAAGCAGGCATGTTGGGACCTCACACAGTTCTCCCAGAATCTCTTCCACTGTTTAAAAAAACACCCTGCAAAATCCTTTGTTGGAATCGCCATCATCTGCCCCCTTGTATTTTCCTGAATCTCATCAACAGTCTGAAATCTCTTCCCTTTCAAAGGTGATTTTAGTTTTGGGAAAAGTCAGAAGTTGAAGGGCACCAAACCTGGGCTGTAGCGGGACTGGGTCACCAGGGTGATTTAGTGTTTCACCAAAAAATTCTGCATGAGACGTGATTCATGAGTGGGCATGCATTGTTGTGATGACGCTGCCAATCACCAGTTGCCCATAGTTGCATCTGTTTTCATCATATTGCATCTCTCAATCCACGAAGAACATTGAGGTCTTACTCCTTAGTAATTGTTTGGCCTGGAGGGGCATACTCATGATGGACAACACCTTCCCAATGAAAAAACACAGTTAACATGGTCTTGATCTTGCTTCCACTTAGCCATGTCTTCTACGGGTGTGGAGAACCAGGCGAATTCCAGTGGGATGACTGGGCTTTCATTCCTGGATCATAGTTGTAGACCCACAATTTATCTTCAGTTATGACCTCCTTGAGGAAACGGTTCGTTGGTAGTGGTTTGAATTAAACCATTAGCCACTGCTGCATGATGTTCCTTCTGCTCTGACAGCAGAAGCTACGAAATGAATTTTGCCATGACATATTTCATGCCAAGATCCTGCATCAAAATCTCAGAGTTTTTGGAATCCCCAGATCAGCTTCTAGTTCTCGCACTGTTAGTCACCTATCTTTGTTGATTGCAGCCCATACACATTTAATGATCCCAGATGTTTGCTTGTTGCAGGCCTTCCAGAACATGGATCACTTTCAACAGATTCTAGACAATCTTTGAAGCATTTGTGCCACCCTTTATGTGTGCTGCACTCACTGCATCATCTCTGAAAGCCTTCTGAATCATCTGCATGGTTTCCATGGAGGAATGTTCAAGCTTAATGCAAAATTTTATGCAGATTCATTGTTCTGCTTGCCCAGTCATTTTGAATGCAACGGCCACACAGTATACATGCTCACTCAAAAGCATCTATCACCCCCACTAAGTAGTACAGTAAAGTTGTCATTGTTCACACATACACATTCCAGTCTACTCTCCTTGGCTGCCAGGTTACATCAATGCGCAGACCATTCTCATTATATTAACAACTGCTGGACTTTTTCCAGATAGACCTAGTATATCAGAATTGCCTATAAAAGCACAGGAATTACTTTATATGACTTTGGATTTGCATTTTTCTTAGTGCACATTACAAAAATTTTAATTAATGTAACTAAAAGGTATTTCTAAAGTCCTTAAGGGTGTCTTGAAAATGTTCTCCATCTAAAAATTTCTTCATTGTGACCTTATTTACAGTGTTTATTGGAAAAAAAAAAGGGTTTTCCTTTTAAAGGTAAATTTCCAACTAGGTCCTAATCAAGTTATTATAAGTTTAGAATTAGAGAAACTTAAAATCATGGTCTTTTGTTGCTTTTTTCTCTTGTAGTTTTAGTACTCTCTACTCCCTATTCCACACTTATTTCCTGAATATGTCTTTCAGGGATGGATTTTTCATTACTAGTAGTTCTATTACAGAAATACATAAAAATTAAAGTATCTTTATTATTGCCTCAATGAATCAATTTCTTTTTTGCATATATATTTATTTCTCTCTCACTCAGATATAGTGTAGTAGTGCTCTTCTTACGTTAGGGAGATTGCAGACCAAATGTGGTGACCCTTGGTATATCCTCTCCCTACACATTTGCCAGCTCTTTGACCCCAGAAGTTGCTTGAGATTCAAAGGAGTAATACCAGTGATTATTTGCACTTCTTCCCTCTGGTTGTCCATCTAGAGTTGTGCTAGGACCTGACTTGGGCTAGTGTAAAGGGAAGAAGGATGCCCAAAGCCAAGAACTGTATATGCCTCAGTAATTCCAAAAGCATTGCTGCTAAGAAAAGCTCCTTTTGTTTCAGAAACAAAATCTGGGGGATTACAGTGAAAAGGCCACACAATATAATTGAGTAGATTTTTGAAATATTACAAGACCAAAAAACAAGAGCAGTGAAGAGCAAGACAGTCTTGACGATGGGTTGGTGGCCACAGAATGAGGGATTAACATTGGGCAACCTGCCATTTTAACAAATGTACCCAAGCTCTGAATTTAGGAGTGACAGGAGGGTTTGGTTGCTGAGAGAAGACAGTTAAATACAGACTACTTAATCTGAGGCAGAGAAATAGTATTTGCTATGGATTGAACTGTGTCCCTCTAAAACTATTATGTTGAAGCCCTAATCCCCAACGTAATGGTACTTGGACATGGGGCCCTTGGAAAGTAATTAGGGTTCGATCAGGTCATGGGTAAGGTTAGGACTGCAATGTATGAATTTTGAAAGGACACAATTCAGTCTATTGCATTCTGCACCTGGACCCCAAACTTCACGTCCTTCTCATACACAGAATACATTTATTCTATCCAAACAGCACCAAAAGTCTTAATCATTCCAACATCAACTCTAAAGTCTAAAAGACCAAAGTGTCATTTAAATATCATCTAAATCAGGTATGGGTGAGACTAGAGGTTAAGATCCATCCTGAGGCAAAGTTCCTCTCCAGCTATGAACCTGTGAAACCAGACAAGTTATGTGCTTCCAAAATACAGTGGTGAGACAGGAACAGGGACAGACATTTTCATTACAAAAGAGAGAAACAGAAGAGAAGGAACAAATGATTATTCCAAGCAAGCCTAAAACTTATCAAGGCAAATTCCATTAGATTTTAAGCCCCAATAATCCTCCTCGTTGGTTCAATATGCTGCCTTCCAGGTCCACTAGGGCAGTGGCTCCACCTCTGTGATTCTCTCCCCAAGATGCAATGTGTTGTTGAAACTGAGGGGGTGGTCTTGATGATCTCTGCATTCTCAGTTCTTCCCTTTTCTTGAAAAACAGAGCATTTTTGCAGCTAAATGGCTCTATGGTATACTCCTGTATGATATAAAATATTTGACAGCTTTAACTTTGTCTTGTTTTTTCCCCCTGTTCCCTTTAGTTCTCATTGGTGTGTCTTTGCCTGTAAAATCCGCATCTCTATTCCTGGCTTCTGCTGAAATGGTTGATTAAGTCCACAAACTGACTCTGTGATCACTTTAACAAATGGTTGCTTAGTGTTCTTTTCAGAACAAGCTTTCCTGTTTTTTTGCAATACGGATATGCTGAGAATTTTCCAGACCTTCAAGTTCTGGTTCCTTTTTGCTTAACAATTCCTTGTTCAATTTCTCCTCTCTTTTCATATTTTACTATAAGCATTCTACAAGACGTAAGCTGATTCTTTGACACTTTGATTAGAAGTCCCTTCAATTAAATATCCATTTTTATTGCTTGTGAGTTCTACCTTTCATAAAACAGTTCAGTCAGGTTCTTTGCCATTTTATGACAAGGACTGCCTTTCCACCAGTTTCCAGTAATGTTCCTCATTGCCATCTAAAAACTCACTAGACTCAACCTTAATATCTGTATTTTCAGCATGTACCTCAAAAGTCATTCATCACATACCCATTTCCATCACACAGTTTCAAACACTTCCACAAGTTTGTTATTTGTTACAGCAGCACTCCACTTCCAAAATCTGTGTTAGTTAGATCAGTCTGCTATCACATAATACCATAGACCAGGTGGTTTAAACAACAGACATTTATTTCTCACAGTTCTGGAGGCTAGGAAGCCTAAGATCAAGGTGCCGGCTGATTTGTTTCTTGGTGAAGACTCCTTGTTTTGCAGATGGCTGCCTTCTACCTTTGTTCACAGGTTGCAGAGAGCACTGCTATCTCCTCCTCTTCTAATAAGGGCACTAATCCCATCATGAGAGCCTCTCAAGACCTCATAATAAATTTAATTATTTCCTAAAGGCTTTATCTCCAAATACCATCACAATGAAGATTAAGGCTTCAATATAAGAATTTTGGAGGGATATGATTCAGTTCATTGCACATGCTATCTGTTACATAGGAATTTGGTTAAATTATGTCTCCAGCATTTATTAGATATATAATGCATCACTCTGATCACACAGAAAATTAAAATGTATTATTTTTTCCTCTTGATACTAGCATTATAATACACAGGGTGTTTCATTTTTATTTTGTGTCCAAGTCTGTGCTTTCTTGGCAACCTCATTAACGTGGAAGTGGCAGAGGCAGGATGGTGCAGTGGTCAAGGTCTTGAATTCTGGAGCGTGGATTTGAGAATTTACTATATCCAGAGTAGTGTAATTACTTAGCTCATGCTTCTGATTCCTCATTTGTGAAATTATATATATATAATTTCTCTCTCAGAGCTGTTTTGAGAATGTGTATAATGTTCTTAGCTGAGCACACGGAACGCATCTGTTATATGTACATTAAAAAAAAAGAGCAAAGTGTGGCTAAATGAAGGGTGCTATGGCCACTGGCCGAGAGGATGAAGCAACACTCACAACTGGTAATCAAGGCAGTGCGGTCGGTAGTAAAGGAGGTTCCATTTCACTCTCTTTAACATTACTTTCCTCGCTAGAAGAAAGTTCTTGTTCTCATTTTAAAAAGCTGTTTCTTTGTTTATCAAAGGCACCAGAGGAAAATTAGAGGGAAGATGACCATATTTCAGAAGAAGAAATAAAAGTAGGGAGAGAGAAAAACAAGCTAATGGAAGAATATTAGCAATCCACTAGAAATGTCTGCTTCTGAAATGAGTGCTACCTCTTCTGCCCTATTTTTTGGACTACTTCTAATTGATTCTGTCAGGCACATGTGGAGTTTTAAAACCTTTCTTTTTGCAGTGCCTTTTTTTAAAAAATTAAAAAAAAAAAAGTGTTTAGTGAAATATGTACCAACACAGGGGAAGCTTGACCATTTTTTTTTCACTGAATCTTATTTTTTGTAAATGAATTGACTGGTTACTGTAAACATGATTTATAAACAGAGTGATACATGGCTCATTATTTCCTTTTGACAATTATGAATTGGTAAATTTTACTCAGATCTTCAGTTTAACTTTGTAAGTAGTCTGAAGATCATGTTGTACCAGCTTTTTATTCTGTAAATTTTGCAGTAGTCCTTTAGCCAAAAGCAATAAAATCTGACCTACTAAGTCTAACATCATAAACTGTAATCTTGCTCTTGACTAATACTAAGAAAAGTTATTTCTGTCCAACGCTACTAGAATTCCATAAAAATGCAACGTAAGAATTCACCAAAACAACCCCATCCAATTTAAAATCAACTTGCTTTTTCTTGAGCACAATTCACATTACCAACCAGATTTTCCTTCTAAATGGAATGACGACTGTTAAGAGGCTTAAATCTAAAATTTAAAATAAAGTGTTCATATACAAATTGATGGTTGCCAGATGGGAGGAGCAGTTGGGGAATAGTGAAAAAAGTTGAAGGGATTAAGAAGTACAAATGGCAAATAATAAAAACAGTCATGGGGATAGAAAGTACAGTGTTGGGAATATAGTCAATAATACAGTAATAACCATGTTTGATGTCACATGGGTACTAGACTTACTGGGATGATCACTTCATAAGTTATATAAATGTCTAATCATGGGGATGTACACCTGAAACTAAAATAGTATTGTATGCCAACTGTAATTTAAAAAATAAAAATAAAATATAAATTTGAAAATATATATGGCGGTGTTTTTGTTTTCAAAATAATCTTCTATTAATGCTCTATTTACTCCTTGATCTGAGAGTTACTTAGAAATTTGAGTGTTCCTACGTGTTTAGGTAATTTTCTTTAAAAATTTCTAGCTGTCTTTCAATGCACCATGAAAACATTAGCTATATAAAGTTCTCCTTTTGAGAACTTAAGACTCTTCCAAGATTTTATTTTTTTTTAAATTATTGGGGTTAAGTATTATTATTTTTTAAAGGGTATTACAAAGAGGCTAATTCCTACCAGAAATCCATTATCCTGTCTCAAATGAGATTTTTCCTCAGATCAGTGGAATTTTACCGAATCCCTTCCCCTGTGTAGAACTGACCACTCCCCTCCTTTTGCTTCCACTGCTATGGTAGGTTTCACCTTTATTGCACATATTTTTCCCATAACAAGTTCTTTGAATATAGATTTTCTCTCATTCATTTTAATTTTCCCTGTACCTGGCAGAGTCCATGAAATGTACAAAAAAAGTACTTTCCAAATTAACGAAAAGAGAAAAATTGCTCTTATGTGCTGAGTCAGGAGAAAGATGCGGGGCAGGCCTGGCACAGCTAATCATATTTGACTTTGATGTTATCAAACAAATGACTAGTCACAATTTGTATTTTAATAAAAATTCCTGAGGCAAAACTTTGTTATAATAGTAAAATAGTCATCTGAAAAGATAAACATACATTTTATTTACCTAATGTAATCCACTGTCCAGAATCTGAAAGCAACTTCAAATTGGAAATAACATTTGGGTCTTTGAAAAAAGCCTAAAATACAAATTTGAGGAAAACAAATTAGATAATTTATTCTAAACAATAATAAGAACTACCTTTTAAAATAACTATAGTAAAATCTCATTTAATGCAATTGGGGAAAGACAAATTTTAAATTGGTAAAATGTCTAAGTAACAAATGCTTTATAAAGAAATGAAGTTTTATTATCTTCAAGTTGGAACAGTATGAACACCACTGTACGTCAAATTATAATAGTCCACATAATTTTCAGGAGGTGGAAAGAATGGGCTAAATGTTGGGCCCTGGGAACAACCCAAAATCATATATAGAATGGCCCTGAGGAGAAAACAGTCTTCCTTGCTGCAGCCCCATCAAGCACTACAGGAAGCTGTCACCACCCATTCTCCTCACTAAGGCCACTGCTGTGCCAGGACTGCCCTGCCTGAAAGCTGAATGCCTCTGCCATCACCTTTACCAGTGAAATGGATTCTCTGTGCACCTCTTTCCTTAAGTTGCTCACTTTGAAATCCCAGTCCTGCACTGGGAAGTTTGACTGGTAAACCTGGACCCCAGGTTTGTGCTGATTGCAAAGGAGGCAAGTGTTTTGGGTTCTACTTTGGACTTCCTAAAAATAAAATTCCACCCAAATCACATGTATGTTCAAAAGGGGGTAGGCAATCAGTAAAAATAATGATGTCTATGATGAGCAATAAAAGAAAAGAAAAACAAAAGATTGGGAGAAAATATTTGAAACAAACATGATTTTTTAAAAATGGGTGCTAACATCCCGAAAGGTTAAGATTTTGAAAAGTCTGATTTAAACATGGTCAAAGGATATAAAAAGTCACATAAAAAATACAAATAGCCAATAAACTTATGAAAAGATACTGAACTTCAAGACCAGTGAGAGAAATGAAAATAAAAACCGTAAGACATTACTTTTACCCATTACATTGGCAAGATTTAAAGACTTGTAACTTTGGCGAAAGTACCAGGAACTATGCACTCTCACACACTGCTGGTGAAAGTATGAATTTTTACAACCTTTCGGGAAGTAACTGGATATTAATCTTGAACATTAAAAACATGCATATCTTATGATCAAACAAATTCTACTCTGAGGTATGTGTCCTGCAGAAATAAAATTGCCAATAGATTAAGATTTACGTACAATATGAGAATTTTTTTATAGCAGTGTCAAAACCTGGAAACAGGTTCAATGTCCATCAATAGAAGGGCTGAATAAAATGCAGTACATTTACACTAGGTGGTATTCTGTTACTGAAAACAAAGTACACATTTGAATAGAATGTAAGCTCCACAAAAGTAGGAACCTGTTTTTCTTACTAACTGCTATATTCCCAAGACTTAGAATGGGGCCTGGCACATAGCAATTACTCAATAAACATCTGCTGTATTGACTCTGAAGGAAAACCATAAGCATTTTGGGTACAAAAAGAGTAGTTTAAGAGTAATGTGTATGATGAAAAACAAGATATAGCCTCTATTTATATGAATGTTAAGTGTGGAAGAGTATCTACCAAAACATTAATAGTAGTTACCTGAGAAGTGGTGGTTGTAGTGTTGTGGGAAGGAGGAGGTGGGGCAGGTGGAGAAGGTAGGGGATAGGATTAGATTGGAATAGAGAAAGGTTGTTGACTCTATGAATTGTTCCTTGTGCTTAGATTGTTGAAATAAATATTTCTCTTATTTACTCTTTTCCTAAATAGCTTCCTGAAAGAGGAATCTATCTGTTTCACTTCTCTACCAGTTATTCTTCTGTATCTGGCTCCTGCTCCCTTTACTCAACTAAAAAAAAAAAAAAAAAAAAATACCCTTGACTTCTAATTCCAAAATCAAAGATACAGTTCCATGGAGTTTACAGACTAAAAGGGGAGATATTACTAACATGCCATGATTTTTATGAAGAAGTGCCAGGTGTTATAGAAGTACATAATAGGAAGATCTAATCTAATGACATTGGGAAGAAAGGTTAATGCACAAATAACAATTTAGGTTTAGATCGAAAAGGTGAGTAGCAGTTAGCTGGCCAAAGGGGCATACTGGTAAATGTTTAACAACTGATACCCCTTTCCCCTCAACAAAAAGCCCTGATTCATAGCATCTGCTAATTTCCATGGATTCTACGCTGCTACCAGTTTAGCAATCAGCAAACAAAGGTTCCTGAAAATTTAGCAGTCAAGCTGTCCTGATCTGCATGTTCGAGCATGACACTGGAAAGACTGTATTTTTTTTAAGATGGAGAAAATGGCAAATTTAAGGTCATTAATATGAGATAGGACAGGGCATCCCAATCAAAAAAAGTAAAGAGGTTCAATGTGGCCAGAGTTGAAGGGGGTAACGGCCAGATGAGGTTGGGGAGTTAAAGTAGACCTTGTAGGTCAAGTTAAAAATTTTGATCTTCATCTAAGATTTACCCATATTGATTAGCATTTTGATCTACAGGCAGTAAAAGACACTGAAGGGCTTTAAACAGAGAAAAAGTGATTAGAGGCATTTTCAGAAGTTCATTCTGGCTGTAGAAAAGAGAATGAACTGAAGGACTATAGAGGCTGGTTAGGATCCGGGAGGCTTCTGTTGTAAGACAGGAAGATGTGATATTCACATGAGTCAAGCCCACAGTAAGTAGGGAGGTACAGAAATATATGAATTAAATGAACATTTAGGAAGCAGGGACAAAGGGAGCCAGAGGAATCAAAACGCGACTCCTGGAAATTTTGTATGAAAACACCAGGCAGAATGAATATCATTTAATAAGGAACAGCGAAGACGGCTCCCATTATGGGGTGAAGATTAACACATTCAACAAGTATTTGTGAATGTCTACATTTTGCCAAGCAAAACAAAGTCTCTGTTTTCATGGAGTTTACGTCAAGTGGTGGACAAGGGTAAACATGTTACAGGTACCATACATGCCCAATTAAAAAGTAAGGTTTCCCCAAAATTTTCCTCAGAAAAAAGAAGTTGCTTCATAACTTTATGAAGTCTTTCAAAGTAAAGAGTGTTTGTGCAAGTATTTTAGTTTATATAACATACATGTTTGAAAAGTAACAAGCTGGAATTAACCTCTATATCAGTACTGGTTTTGAGAGATCTTTGAACAAATCAGTAAAAGGAGGAAATTTAATTAATATTTAGTAATTTTTCCTGGGGAGTATCAACTTACAATTACATTTAGGTATCATTATAAACGGAAGAAGGCTAAGTAGCCTGCAGTGAATTGATCTGGAGCCAATGGAAGTCTTCATAAAGGCCCCTCAAATGAAGTGATAGTTATGTTATTGGGATGACAGCTATACACCTAAATTAATTTAAAAAAACACCCTACCCTAATGTTCGTATATGGTATTTTGGGTTTGTTAGAGAATTCCAGTGAGGCATTAGGAGGGATTCTCTGTATCTCAAATAGCTTTAGGAAAGCTGATGTGTTTTGGAAAAAGATGATTCATAAACTAATTACAGTGATAACAAAGATGCTGATGATAAAATGCATGTGACGATTTGAATAAACTTGTTTCACAAAATGCTTGAAAAGTATTTCTAAATTAATATTTTCTATATAATTTTTAATGTATGCCTACTCTATGCCGCACATAGGAAATATAAGTAAGATATTTGAATCTATCATCTATACGGCACACTGCTGGTCTCCGACCCAATATCAATTCTCTCCTATCCCTTAAGGAATCCTAATTTTATTTGGGACAGCCACCTGCTCAGGTAAAAGTCTGCACTTTATGGACATGAGACTAGAAGTTTAGTTATGACGTTTTATAGTATTGTAGAAATGACATGTTTGTTTAAGTCAGAAGGCCAGGATTTTGCCATTTGCTGGGCATACTTGCACAGACTATTTAACCATTCTGAGCTTTAGTTCTTCGTCTATAAAATGGGGCTTGAAACACCAAATTTGCCAGATTGTTGTAAAGATTAGTGACAAATGTACAAAAAGTGCTGAAAGCTAATCTGGCAAGTAGGAGTCACTATTGCTATAGAAAAACACTTTGTAAAGTAGTATACAAATGTTAACAAAATGAGCCAGGTATTTGTGACATATTTTGTATATATTATTTCCTTTAATTTTCATAACAATTCTCTCAGATTTTCAGTAGTATTTTTATATTAAAAAATACTTGTGTGTCATTTTGCAGAAAAGTGAACAGAGATCAAAGAAGGTTAAGTAACTTGCCCAGTGTCATGTAAGTGGCAGAACTGGAATTTGAACACAGACAGCTAACTAGAGGACAAATCAAGAGGATCCAGGTTTTTTAGGGCCTTCAGCTTACACAATTTTAGTGGCTCTGAGAATACAAAAACATCTATTTTTGAAAAATTTCAAAAACATATGACCATGTGACCATATTGGTAGAATCAGAGTTCCTTGGAAGGGGCTTCCACAAGTGAAGAGCCTGAGCCAATGAGGGGCCCTGAAGACCCATTATCTTCAATGTAAATCCCCTCCCAGGTCATGCTCTTGGCCACAATGCTTTATTTCCTCCCAATTAGTTACATGAGTAAAAATACTGATTGTATGAGTACACTTCTTTGAACTGAAATATGGGAATAATACCATCTACCTCACAGGAAAAACAAATAGGATAAACATGAAGATTTTGAATATTAGAAAAAATTGCCTGGTATTAAGGAAATTGGTTGTGCATTATGGATGAGTCTTGAATCTATTGATGAACTCTGTGCCAACAGCACAACCCAAATGAATTCTACACTGTCATCCATGAAATTTTTCCCAACACCAACGCCCCTCCATTGAGTGGTCTCTTTCTCCTGTGCCTAGGGCACCTGATATATCCTCCATTATAGCAATTATGTTATTGTGTTGTCAAGAATATTCTGCATTTCTAGCTTCCAAAACTCTATAAGCTCTACAAGCTGAGATCAGATCTTTTTAACAACCCCCAACAGGGACATAGTAAGAATAAGTGACTTACATTAAAATTTTTACAGCACTCTCAAATTCAGTGAATTAAATCCTGATGTTCTTTTTTTTTAAAAAAAAAATCATTAACTATAGGGCCAGAGCTAGCATAAATGAAAAATATAAAACTACAAAAATCTAACCATGAATATTTGAGAAATGTTATCACCAACAATGTTATAATAGCATTACATTATATTAACATAATAGTCCTGGGGAAAGAGAAATAGACACTTAACCCATTTATCTTGTTAAGGGTTGAATTAGTTTGCCCACCAAAATTCATGCCCTTTCTTGAACCTCAGAAAGTGATCTTAGTTGGAAACAGGATTGTTGCACATATAATTAGTTAAGATGATGTTTCACTGGAGTAGGGTGGGCCTTCTTATTTAAACATAAGAATATTTACTGGTATTCTTATAAAAAGAGAAGAGACACAGCCATAGACCCATGAAAAGAGAGGGCTAAGGGACTTGGACAGGGGTAGAGATTGAAGTACTGCAAGCCAAGGAGTGCTGAAGATTGCTGACAACCACTAGAAGCTGGGAGAAGGTTAGGAAGGGTTTCTCCCTACAGATTTCAGAGGGAGCTGTCACCTTGATTTTGAACTTCTCTCTTCCAAAACTGTGAGATAGTACATTTCTGTTGTATTAAGCCATCTCTTTTGTGATACTTTGCTACAGCAGCCCTGGGAAACTAATACACTGTCCCAGTAAATATGTTGTTTTATTATTTGGGCTATTGTTTTCCTCACTGTACTTATTGGCAGCTTGCTACAGGCCTGTAAGATCCCCGAAAGCCAGGCTTGCCTGTCTTGTTAGGTCTTGTATTCCCAGCACTTGATGGAATTTCTAGCACATGGTAGGCCCTTAGGAAGTGTTTGAGAATTACTGAATAAATCAATGCCTGAGGACAAGAATGGCAAAGATAGTATCACAGACCATAACAGAATTTTCCATTTGACTGAGGAGAAAACACCCAGGAATTAAAACCATGAATGAATTTTAACTAACGCACCTGAACTTGTACTTTCAAGTTTTTCCCTTTTCAAAGCACTCATTTCTAGTAGCTAAAGACTTAATCCTTTTTTTGGAATTTTTCATTTGGAACTGCTTTTAGAGCCTGCTCTCATAAAGCTTGATTTGACTTTAAGAAACAACCAAAAGTAATTTGAAGCTAAGCCTGGTGATAAAGCTGGGTAATAATACCAAAAAATGAAGTAGAGACTGATTTTCCAGAGAGAAGGAGCGAGAGAGTGACTTTTCAAAATTGTAAAGATCTCTATGATACGGAAAATGAGCAAATGTATGGGGATGGGAAATGTAAAAGATCCTTTTAAAATGTATCACTAGCAACTTTCATTATTCTCAGGCTCCAAGAAAACGACATCACTTAGTAATCGAGTGTTCACAAGAACGTCTGCCTAACTAGGAAAAAAAAGTCAAAATCAGGAGAGACGCTAGGAACTTTCCAACGCCCATACCAACCATAACGAAATCATCCTTCCGATAGGGCTGAAACACCTGGTCAAACCCGAACGCCTGTGCCTTGATTCTGCCCAGCATGGACCTGGAGCAGAAGAGGAAAAAAAAGTCAGCTTCGGCCTCGCACCCTCTGAGAGTACATTCGGCCAGTACCACCCCCGGAACCCCTGCGCGTGCGTCACTGCTGCCTCGCGGTTTCACTCAGGATGGGGCTGCCCCAATCCGGTCCGCCTCGACCCCGGCCGCGAAGGACAAGGGGCTCTTCTATCCTTGCCCCTTGGCCTCTCACCACTGGCGGAGCCGGCTCGTGGTCTCCTTGGTGCTTAGAGACTGGAAGGTTTTCTGAGGCAGGAATCTGAAGTAGTAGCCTCCCGAATCACCGGACTCCGCTGCAGCCATTGTGGTCTCCGCGGCGCCTGAGTGGGGGCCGTTTCCATAGAGACGCGGCGACCCGACGCCGTGGGGGCGGGGCGGAGTGGGGCGGGGCCAAGCGTACACCTGGACCGCGTCTTGCGGCCTCACCGCGGGGCGTGGGCGGTCAAGAGAGGACGTCAGCTTTGGCTTCTCTGGGAACTGGGGCCAACGCCCTTCCCTGGTACCAGGGCGCTGGCACTTTTCCACGCCTGGCCTAGCAGCTATGGTAACTAAGGGTCCGAGGCGAGGAAAAATTGCCAATATATTCGTGTAGAAATGAACTTAATAATAATTACTGTGCATGGGTTAATTTACTCTCTTAAATCCTGCAATCTTGGATGTATAGTTATCTAAATTTGATGACTCAAACATTTCTGAAGAAAAATTATTCTGAATTAATTAGGTTTATCTATTTTGGAAGACAGATGTCTACGTGACTACTTGGGAGACTTCTGTTATACCACCTGACTCTTTTTTTTTGTAGAATTGCACCTGAAGGCTAAAACAATTTTTTGCATACATACTGCAGTACAATATGCTGTTTAATAGAAACATGTATTTCTTTCTTTGTGTTGAAAATTACCTTTTGTATCTAAAATTCTTGTTGTTTTGTTTCGTCTAATTGTAGTGTATCTGGCTTCATAATGAGGATATAGTTCTTTCCTACCTCTGCTAATTCCGTTTCCTTTCCCCATAGTCTTGAAGAACTGATCTTTATTATTCCTTAGTCAGCAACAGCAGGGGAGATGGGGAGAAAAGCACACAGAATATTTTTTTTCCATCATTGATTAGTACTCCATTGTTTACTATACCCCAACTTAATCTTTTGTGTTGTTTGCAGTTTGAGGGTATTCTCAAAGTAGCTATGAATATTCAGGTGCATATCTTTTGATGGACTTAGGCACTCATTCCTGTTGGAAATATATCCAAGACTGGAAGTGCACAGTCGCAGGGGATACTGGTTTTATGAGATACTGCCAAAAAGTTTTCTAAGATAGATCAATTTACACCCTAGCCAGCAATGTGTGAGATTTCCAGTTCTACATTTTTGCAAACACATAGCCATTCTGCTGAGGTTATATTAATTTCTCATTGTGATTTTAAGTTTGCATTTCCTTGATAGTTAATGTTGTCCAGCAATTTTTAACATGCATATTGGCCATTTAGATATCTTCTTTAGTGAAAAGCCTATTCAAGTGTTTTGTCCATGAAGCGTTGTTAGTCTCCTTTTTATTTATAGGAGGTTTAGAATAGTCTGGATATGAGTCCACTGCCAGAAATACAAGGTCTGTCCATAAGGTATCCATCCATGTAATATGAAAAATAGAGACTTTTAATAAAGACAATACAAGATACAAGAAACATTGTACATAGGACAATGATACCTCAGTCCTCTTCAATGTAGGCACTTCGGAACCTCACACATTCTCCCAAGTCGCCATCAGCTGCCCCATCATATTTTCCTGAATCTCACCGAAAGTCTGAAATCTCTTCCCTTTCAAAGGTGATTTTAGTTTTGGAAAAGCCAGAAGTCACAGGGTGCCAAATATGGGCTGTAGTGGGGCTAAGTCACCTGGGTGATTTGATGTTTCACCAAAAAACTGTGCATGAGACATGATCCATGAGTGGGAGTATTGTGATGAATTCCTGTCACCAGTAGCCCACAGCTGTGGCCTTCTGAACCATCCAAATAGTTTCTGCAGAGGAATGTTCAAACTTAATGCAAAATTTAATGAAGATTCAATTGTTCTATTTGTCCAGTCACTTTGAATGCGATGACCACACAGTACACATGCTCACTCTGCGTTATCTACCACCCCCACTGGCTAGTACAGTGAAGTCATCATTGTTTACGCATGCACATTCCAGTCCTCTCTCCTTGGCTGTGAGATTACGCCTATGTTATGCAAACCATTCTCATTATATTAACAAGGCTGGACTTTTTCTGGACAGACCTTGTATATGTTGCAAATATTTTCCTTTTTGTCTGTAGCTTTCTTGCAGCTTTAATGCTCAAAAATTCTTAATTTTAATGAAGCCCAGTTAAGTTTCTTTTACGTGCCATGTCTGCTTTTTGCCTACGCAGACTCATGGAGATATTTTCATGTTTATGTCCATGATGCAGCTCAAAACTTTTTAAAAGCTTATTTCATTTTTTTCCATATGGTTTTCTATTTGACCTAGCTCCACACATTGATAAGAACATTGAATATTTCTATCCCACTGAATTTCAGTTGTCCTTAAAAAAAATCCAGTAATTGTTTCTGCTTAAGACTTTATAAAAGCATTTTCCATAGGACCTAACCATATAGTAATTTTTTGTAGGTTTTTCCAACTTTATTGTGATATAATTGCCATGCAAAAAATTGCTCATATTAATGGACACAGTATAAAGTTTGATATATGTACTCTTTGTGTTTTTTAAAATCCTGAAATAAAAATATACATGTAATAATATTCATTTTGGGTTTATGATGCTCATTTAGCCCTGACTGGTGTGGTTCAGCTGGTTAGGCATCATCCCACAAAGCAAAAGCTTGTGGGTTCAATTCCTGGTCAGGGCACATGCCTGGTTTGCAGGTTCAGTCCCATGTTGGGGTGCATATGAGACATAACCAATCGATGTTTCTCTCTCTTATCAACATTTCTCTTCCTTGTTTTCTCCCTCCTTCCTCCTCTCTCTAAAATCTTTTTAAAGAAAGATGCTAATTTAAGTTTAAGAACTTCTTTGCTTATTTTTTGCATTACTCAAAAGTAAATCATTTTTACTGTGTTGATGAAGTTCATCATCTTCTTTTCAACCTCATAATCAGTGATTACATTTTGAGTATATAGTGTTAAAGTTCAATGTGTATTCGGAAACTGATAGTTTTCTAACTGTTAATTGTCAAGTAAATATTCATGATTGGTATATATTTTATACAACCAACTTTTCTTAAGGTCAACAATTTTTTTTAGTATCTCCCAATCTTCATTAAATTTTAAAAAATCACATAAACACCACATGTTTAATAGAAAAAAAACAAAGAAGCAAAAAGAATACAAATGCACATAATCCCAGAGACATAATTTTTCAAGTTTTTGGAATAATGAAGAATATTTTCCTTAGGGAGATTTACCAGATAAAGAAGTCTGTAGTCTAAATTTCATTGACTCATACTTTAAGAAACCTTGGCCAGGCAAGTATACATGGAGGGGGAAAAAAACCCTTTCATATTCAGTTTTTTATTTTTTAATTTTTTTCTTTATTTTTATTGTTGACACTATTACATGCACACCCCCCACCCCAACCTTTCATATTTACAAAGCAAATCTCACATTGTATTTAGTTTTATGTGTTTGTGGTTTCTTTTCTCTTTATTGATTTTTATCATCAAAAGTCAATAAAGTTTTGGTATTTTCACAGTATAACTAAGAAAATGGCATGGAAATGTACTCAGATCAGAAATCCAATTCAGCTCTAATCTAGATTTCCTCACTTGTAAATCGAAGATAAATTTTTATTTTTTGCCCCATGAGGTTATCATGAAGATTAAATTAGTTACTTGGTATGAAGTACTTATCACAATGACTGATACTTAAAATGACAATGTATGGCAGTCATTAATATTAATGGCTATTTTCATATAGCCTTCTAAGAACAGAATCTCAATAAGTAGTTTGTGTATATAGGACATAAAGTATTAGTTGACATATCTCCATTTATGGCTACTCTCTAGAACAGCGATTTTCAATTGGTGTGATGCAAGAATTCTTAAAACATGCAATACCTGACTATTTAGTCAGAGGCACTGACTTCTTTTCCCTTAGACTGTCAAATAAAAAAAATGACAACAGCCAACACAACAATAGCTGTCTGGTGTAAAATAATCAAAATTATACCTATTCTTTTGTCAGATGGGCAAAAAAGATATATTTTGGTGTGTCGCAGAATTTTAGTAATTAGTTTATGTGTGGCATGAGATGAAAAAGGTTGAAAATTGCTGCTCTAGGGACGTTAGGTTAGGAATGATTGTTTTCTCTGTTAGCTGTTTCTAGGTTTCCATCACTTAATTTATATGTACTTCATACTTTTGCATCCTTAAAACATAGACACTAATACTAGGTGCTTCATTAGATTGTAAGTTGGCACTACAAGATAAATGTGTTAATTAAACTCCTGGCTCCTCTATCACTTCATTTAACTGTAAAATTTTACCAAGTGAAACATCATTTTGTCATTAGATGTTATTATTCCTTCAGGTTTTACATTCCCTTCTTCTGGCCAATGAGCACATACCCTGCATATTGCTAGGCAATATGGGAATTCCAAAATGTATAATATTGATCTTGCCTGCAAAACCCTTAGAAATTCATTGGAATTTATTGAATTTCTAGTTCATATTGCTAGTTCATGTATTTAAACTCCACTTAGCCCTTTTCGCCCTTTTAAAATTCAAAACTACTAATTCTCACTGACCATTTACTTGTTCTCTAGTTACTTTTTAAAGTTGCAAAGCTACTTTTTTATCTAATAATTTAGAATACACACATATTTAACTTAAAGTAAATCTGATAAAAAACATTCAACAAAATGAAGAGGAAGCTAATTCTAATATCAATGTATATCAATTTTTCAAAACAGCACTTACTTTCTACTGGATATAAATTTTCTATGACTCTAGTAATTTGAAAAAGGTTTACCTAAAATACTTAGAAGCCAAGAACAATATTAGGTTGGTTGTAGTGGTTGTATATTCCTGATAAATAATGATAGTTTTTGACTTTTATAGAATTGTTAGCTAGAAAAAAGGAGCAAAGGGAATTAGACATTGAGCTTATACAAATGGGGAGCATGAGTCTGCTTGCTTAGACAGGAAACTACAGCTTCGCACCCCAGGGGACTCCAGCATTGCTACTTGAAGGGGACTGACAGCCCTCCCTTCCTGCCTCTGTACTGGATTGTTGCGGGGTACAGGGGTAGGTACTGGACCATAGAGGCCTGT